AGGTGTGGGCAGGACACTCAGGCTGCAGCTGCTGCTTTATGGTGGCCACAGCTGCACTGCTGCCATCCAACCTCTTGTCCCCGCAGGATAACAACATCGTGTACGCTTCCATTGCCCTCTCAAGCCCAGCCTCCCCAGGAACACCACCCTGCCAGCCCGTCCATGGGAACCCCCAGGAAGAGACTGTGTACTCCATCGTAAAGACCAAATGAGTGGGTCTGGGTGACGATCTCAGAGTCACCTGTGTTTCTAGTGAGAAGACTCCCAGCTTCCACTGATACCCACAGCCAGAGACAAAATCTCATGGGTCACTGATACCCATGGCCAGAGACAGAAATCCATACGTCAGGACGTTTGAGCTCAGAGAAAATCAGAAACTCCGAGTTCCCTTTTTTAACTTTCTAGATCTTCCTACAAAAATAAAACAATCCACAGAATTTGCCTAAATGAATCTAATTAAGAGTCACTCGTGTGACCCTTAACTTCTGGCCCTCTAATATCCCCTCCTCTATCACTTTTTTCTAGCGGCCCAAGGCAGGGGATCCCCAAATGCTGGCAGCCTGTCTACAAGATGTACACCCACATCTGGGAGGGTAATAACCAGTACACTCTGTGACTGGTTCCCATGGACCACCACACTGGACATCAGCAACAACCCTAGATAGATGGTGTGAGACAGGGAACTAAACACCAGATGGTCACAATGCTTTCCTAAGGCCATGTCACCCCCAGGAAGTAGGGGAGTCAAGACCACAGAGATGCTTTTCTGAAGGTTCCCCAGGCCTGGGTCCTGCTGCTTTCCCCAGCCTCCTATACCTTCCAGAGAAAGCAGTTTGCCATAGCGACATGAAAGGAAGCACAGCCTAAGCAGTGGACCCAGAGACCTGCTTTATTACCCATGAAGCACAGCTCTGACCTGAAACATGGAGCAGGTCACCAACCCCGACATTCAACATCTGCTCAGGATCACTGAGAGGCAGTCAGCAGTAGAAGGTCCAGAGCACACTACTCCTCAAAGAGGCCCGCCAGGAACTCTTCTGAGCCATCCCTCTGCTGCGACTCCCCTCTCTCCTCTGCCTCTCCAATGTCTTCCATGAGTTGTTCCAAGTCCAGGTCACTGGAACCATCATCTTCAGGGGGGAAACTTGCTGCCTCCTGTGTCAGGGGCTCCTGAGGCCCAGGACCTTCCTTTCCCAATGGACAAGCCCCGTGTGGAGCTGGTGGAGCAGGGCACTTTGAATCAGTTTTAATTGCTTTCTCCTTGGGTAATTCGGTAGCTGAGGCCTTGCTTTCAGGAGTCTTAAATTTTTTTTTAGGGCCTAAAGAAAACAAAGGACAAAGTTGAAAGTCCCTTTAAGTCAACCTATCCTGATGTTTTACAAGCCAGATCTGGATTCTTGTGTTTAAAGCATCTGGAAGGATAGTCTTCATCAGAATTCAGAACATGGGCTTTCAGGTCACATTTGGACTCCAGCCTTGTGTTAGCTGTGTAGTCAACATGGGTCTTGAACAAATCTGAACACTTCTGAGCGCCCTACTTACTACAGTTGTATCTGAAATGTCAAGGAGCTGGAAAGACGGCTCAGCAGTTAACAGAACATGCTGTTCTTGTAGAAGACTGTGTTTCAATTCCCAATGCTCACATGGTGGCTCATAACCACCTGTAACTCCAGTTCCAGAGGATATGACACCCTCTTCTGGCCTCTGTGAGCACCAAGTATGCATTTATATGCAAGCAAAACACACATACATATAAAAATTTTAAATATATATTAATTTTTAATATATATTAAAATTTAAATATATATATATTAAAAATAAATAAATAAAATGTCAAAAATCTAAAGCCCAGCCGGGCGGTGGTGGCACACGCCTTTAATCCCAGCACTCGGGAAGCAGAGGCAGGTGGATCTCTGTGAGTTCGAGGCCAGCCTGGGCTACCAAGTGAGTCCCAGGAAAAGCGCAAAGCTACACAGAGAAACCCTGTCTCGAAAAACCAAAAAAAAAAAATCTAAAGCCCATTCCATGAGATGGAACCCACACCTGGCACTATTAAAGGGTCCAAGAACCTGCATGTGACAATCCTTGGCCCTCAGGGAAAATCCACTCCCATCCTCTACTTAATGGACATAGAATTAAAGTGACTCTAACAACTTCACTGCTGTCCCCACAGATCTGTGTGTCTCTCAACCTTGTCAGAGCTGCTTCTCCTTGCAGCAGGTGACAATTAACAGAGCCACTCAACTGGCCAACGTCCTGAGAATGAGAGACTGTGGTATCTCAGTCCTCATGGGGACACACTAACATCCCTCTACCCACGGCTCAAGGATCTTTGAAAAAGAGGGGAGTCAAGGCAAAAGGCTGTGTAAGAGCCAGAGGTAGAGGAAACAGTATTTCTGAACATAAGAGGTCAGTTGCACATATGAACTCACAGGGATTGTGACAGCAGGTATAAGATCTACACAAGCTTAAACCAGATAAAATTCAGTATAGAAAGGACATGAAATCTCACTACAGGATGAGATGCTACTGGCATTTTTTAAGAAAGATTTAATTTTATTTTGTGTATATGGTTGTTTTCCCTGCATGTATATGCATCACATACAGGAAGTGCCCAGGGGGTTCTAAAGAGGGTGTTGGATCCCCAGGAACTAAAGTTGTGAGCTGTGGTGTGTGTGCCAGAAACTGAACCTGGGTCCTCTGGAAGAGCAGCCAGTGCTTGATTTAGCTTGATCACTGATGGGAGAGGGAACGTTAGTTTTCTTTAATCTGACTAACCCCTGGTACGGCAACTACACTCCAGGCCAGGCCCCACTCCAAGACGAGCTGGACAAACTGGTGAGGGGAAGAAGAAAACCCAAGCTTGTGTGATTAGGGAGAGGAGTGTGAAGAGCATAGATATAGGAGAAGCTGAGGGGTGAACATGACCAAAATGCACTGTAAGAAATTCCCAAGCTGGGCAGCGGTAACACATGCCCTCTATTCCCAGCACTCAGGATGCAGAGGCAGGTGGATCTCTGTGAGTTCAAGGCCAGCCTGGTCTACAAGAGTGAGTTCCAGGATAGGTAGGGCTACACAGAGAAACGCTATCTTAAATCTCACCCCATCCCCACCCCCAAAAAAGAAAGAGAAAAAGTTCTCAAAAGATTATATTTTAAAAAACCAGAAGCTGAGCATGGTGGTGTACACCTTTAATTCCAGCACTCTGGAGGCAAAGGCAGGTATATCTCAGTGAATTCAAGGGCAGCCTGGTCTATATAGTGAGTTCCCCGTCAGCTAGGACTACATAGTGAGACCTTGTCTCAATAACAAAACAAGTCAGTGAGATGGTTCAGTGGGGGAAGCCACATGGTAGAAGGAGAGAACTGACTCCCAAATGTTGCCTTCTGACCTCTACATCTGCACCATGGCATGCAAACATGCACACACAAACAAAACATTTAAGTGTAAAATGCCAACTATCTAGTAATGGAACCACTGAAAGACTTAGAGAGAACATCATGGAAGCATCAAGCATCCACATAGCCAGCCCACATCAATAAATGCTCTTTACCATTGGATTATCATTAGATTTAATCAAATCAGTAACAACTAAGTTTGTTGTTTATTTAGTTATTTTGAAACAGAGTCTCACTATGTAGCTCTGTCTGGCCTAGACTGTATAGACCAGGCTGGCCTGAAACTCAGAGAGCTGCCTGCCTCTGCCTCTTGGGTGCTGGGATTAAAGGCCTTACATACTATAACTGGCCACAATTAAGTTTATAAAGCATGTTCTAGGTTCAATCTGAGACATGGTCTTTCATTCAGAATTTCATTTATTCTCCTTCTCCTGTTCCTATCCTTTTTTTTTTTTTTTTGATGTTTTTGAAAAAGGGTCCCACTATGTAGCCCATGCTAGCCTAGAACTTATATACAACACAGGCCAGCCTCAACTTCATAATCCTCCTACTGCAGCACAAAAGCATGAAGAGTTATAGAACTGTTCAGAAATGACCCAGGGAGAGGAGATGCAGACAAGATCTTCATTTCCCCCCTGGCCCTCGAGTCTCTGATCCCTACCTGGATGGTCCAGGTCTAAATTCCCCTGTTCTTCTTTCCCTCCCATAATGGGTCCAGGAGGGACTGCAGACTCACTGCCCAGAGACTTCTTCACAGTCTTTTCTTTTGAAGTCCCGGCTGGTCCTCCTGATGGGCCTGTAAAGCCCCAGCCGCCAAGCATGAAGAAAATGTGTTTTGTTTCTGCCTCGTCCCACATCTCCTCCTCATTCTCAGTCTAGCAGGTTCCCTCAGTGGCTTCCAGCTCTAGCCATCTTGACATTGCTGACCCAGGGTCTTCTCCCCACCACGGTTCTCCTCAGAACCAGCCTTCTCCAAGAACTCAACCTTGGTGACCTAGCTGAGCCCTACACCTTTCACTAAGTCTTTGGAAACAAGAACGAGGCACTATGACTTCCTCCCTGGCATCGGCCCAGCCTGTACTCTCAGGTCCTGGAAATGAGATTCAGCCCAGCACAGCTATTGGAAAACACTTACTCTCTGCCTCTGCCCTCCTACCTGTGGGACTTGCCCCTTTCCAGCTGTCTTCCTTACCTCTTGACTTGGTTTTTTTGGTCTGTATTTTAGCTGGCTTGGGTCTAGGCAAAGTTGGATCCTTCAATAGGGAAAGAACAGAAAAAAGTAAAATGAATCACAAAATTCTTCCTAAAACTGAGAAGGCACCTAGTCATGTGATTCCCATGCAAACACGAGGAACTGAGTTCAATTTCCAGAACACACATAAAAAAACTGTGTGATGAGTTCAAGGCCAGCCTGATCTACAAAGCGAGTTCCAGGACAGCCAGGACTGTTACACAGAGAAACCCTGTCTCAAAAAACAAACTAAAAAAGCTGCACGTGATGGGGCACACTTGTAATCCAGCACCAGGGACATGAAAACAGGTGCATCCTTCGGGCTTGTCAGCCAACCTACTAAATGGACAAGTTCCAGATAGAGCTCAAAAACCAAGGTGGAAGGCACCTGAAGAATGACACTTGAGATTGACCTGTGGCCTCCATAAACATTTGCACATACATATGTGCACACCTACACACACATGCACCTGAACACATATTCTCTTTTTAGTAGAGGGGTGCTAGAGAATAATGGTGGGCTTCAGAAAGTCAAATTAGGTTTTGTTGCAGCCTGATGCAGTTTAAACCTGTAGCAGGACATAGAAAACATGTGGTCACCTTCCCATCCTGTTTAGTACCAGTCAATGCAAAGATTGAATGCATACGAAGGAAATTAAGCCAGTGTGTGTGTGGGGGGGGGTAAATTAGAGACTGTGAGATGGCTCAGTGGCTCTAAGCCTGACAACTTGAGTTCCGCTGGAGGGACCCACATGGTAGAAACAGAGAACCAACTCCCTCAAATTGTTCTCTGGCACGCATTCCCACCCCCAAGTAAATAAGTGTAATAATTTTTTTAACAAAAAAAAAAAAACCACGGTAAACTAAAAGATAAAAGAGAAAGAGAAAAATGCATGTTTCACAGTGATCCTAAGAAAAGGGGTGGCATCTTAAGTCCCCACCCAGGAGAAAGGAGTGGAAAAAGTACGAGGGGCTCCCCGAAATTACATGAAGAACCAAAGGAACACAGCACAAACTGAGACTGTGCTCACGAAGAAATCTCCTAAAGGGCTGAGAAAGTCCCACAGCAAGGAAGGAAAACTCCCCTGCCACCACCCCAGCCCTGGGAGCCTCAGGGTGAGGCCAGCCTGTCAGGGCCTGGGGCTGGATGGTTCACAGGAACCGCCACTCTATGCCAACCGCATCCCTCCAGGAATCCCAAGCAGAAATGTCACAAGAACTTTCTCTAAAGCAGCTTTACTTTCTTCTCTTCTTTCTCCTCCTTCTCCTCCTCTGAGTCCTTCTCTTTCTCCAGACAACACTCGGGGCGGCTGGGCTCACAGACCATCAAATCTAGGCGGGCGAGGGAAAGGAAGGAAGACTATGTGTCCACGATGCATCTGGTGAGGTGGAGGTAATTTCTGGAAATCCATCTTCCAACCCTGCCTGCCAAGTCCTTGGGATGGTTCCCATGTCACCACGGTCACACTCACCACACTCACATACCCTGCCTCATCCTCTCCGGGGTCACAGTCACAAGAGCGCCCACTAGAGAATCTGGAGTGGGGAGGGTGCAGGCTTGGGTCCTACAGGGAGAAGGGGCTCTCCACCCTCCCGCCACTACTTTCCTACCTTTCCCTTCCCCACTGCCGTCAGATCCATTGTATCGACTCCAGAAACCAAACAAGTTAACCCGCTCCTGGGGAACCAAGACACAACAGTGTCCCCCACCACCCTCCCAGACACAACAGTGTCCCCCACCACCCTCCCAGACACAACAGTGTCCCCCACCACCCTCCCAGACACAACAGTGTCCCCCACCACCCTCCCAGACCCAGTTTTTGCCCTGTCTTCTAGATTCTAGTACTGACAAAGTCTGTGTTCATCTTCCAAACCATTTTCACTTGAAATATCACATTAGTTTTATCTGATCCTTTAATGGAGATTAATTATAATCTCTTTTCTACTTTATTCATGATGGGACAAGTAACTAGGAAAGAGAAATTCACGTGTCATTCTTTACCCCACCCCTGCTCCTTCCAGAGGGATTTGAGGGTAAAAACTGTGTTTGGGCTGAGAGAAGACATCACCTGTCCAAGGGTAGGAAAGGAGTGGATGGCTTAGGCATCAGGAAACCCGGCCAGGCAGGGAAAACAGATCCCGGCTGTGGGGCAGCAGGGGGACCCAGCCTGTGGGCTGGGCACTCGCCCACCTGAACACTGATCTGCTCTGCCTTGTGAGCCATCCTTATGGCTGCCTCCAGTTTCTGGCCATAGTCCTTGTTCTTGCATTTTTTCTAAGATAGAAGGTTAGAGTTCATGATAGATATATCTTTAAAAATAGTCAACATAAAAACTCTCAAATAACTAATAATTCTTGAAATTATTCAATATGGGGCTAGAGAGATGGCTCAGCAGCTAAATATTGCTTTTCCAGAGGACCCAAGTTCAGTTCTCAGCATCCACATCAGGCAATTAATAACCATCTAAACTCCAGCCTCGGGGGATCTGAAGCTTTGGGCCTCTGTAGATACTTGCATGAAGTGCACATATCCACAATTAAAAATAAAATAAATATTTTTAAAAGAAAAATTAATAATAATATTATTAGAAAAGTGACCGCAACATACCACTATCTATCTATCTCTCTCTCTCCTCTCTCTCTCTCTCTCTCTCTCTCTCTCTCTCTCTCTCTCTCTCTCTCTCTCTCTCTCTCTCTCTCTCTCTCTCTCCCCACACACTGTGGCTCAGTCTGGCTGGGCACTCACTACAGCCTATTGGCCTCAAACTCACAGCAACTCTGCTACCTCAGGTTCCTGAATGCTGAATTATAGATGTGAATCACCACCCCTGACTTGGACATTATCTTAGCTACAATTGCTTAACTATCAGTTCCGGGTACTGACATGACACTCTATTCTTAATCTTCCTGGGCTCAGAAACAACACTCTCCTTCCCAATAAACCTCTGGTGCTTTAGTGCCCTCCACAGTGAATCACACAGGGATTTGAAGGAAAAGAAGACTGAAGTTCAGGGGACTCCACTTTTCAGCTTCTCACGAGTTCCTCTGAACCCAGCAGTTTAATGCTCGTAGCTCGATTGAATAGTAGGCATACAACAAACATCTTTTCTCCCAACTCCATAATTCCAAAGGTCATCACAATGGGCTTTAGCATCTCTGCTCACTTTAAGGCTAGTTAAACCCAAAATGATTATAGGGAAGAAATACGATTTAGCTAACCACATGCTTCTCCACTAGGGAAGACTGTCTCCCAGGAGACAAAGTTTGGGGACAATTATTTAGCTGTCACAACTAGAAGAGGGCAAGACATAGGATAGAGGATGCTGCAGTGCCCAGGGATGCTGCTAACACCTGCATGCAGAGGACTACGTGGACCAAGATGCCCACAGTGCTAGGACTGAGAAACCCTGAGTTAACCTGGGCCCTTACTGCTGCAACTTTCAAACTGACTCAGAACATGGTGTGGTGGTGCTTGCCTGTAATCCTGGGATTTAGGAGGTTGGAGGCAGGAGGATCAGATGTTCTAGGTCATCCTTGACTACACAGTGAGTTCCAAGCAAGCCTGGGACCCTCTCTCAAAAAACAGCAAACAAAGACACACACAAAAGTGCCCTGTTCCCTGTATCACAGCAGATCCCCAAAGTTTGCTCACCACTCTGGCTAGCTCCAGGGACAGCTCCTGGAAGTTCTTCAGCATGCTAACTGGGATCCACGCACGAGAAACTGTTTCTCCAAAATATGTCACATGGTACTTGGACTGTAACAAAAGATGGGCTTGTTTGGTTCCTGCCCTTCTCTCTGCTTTTCCCTTGTCAGAAATGGTAGAGAAAGACAGAGTGTGGGGGAGGGAGGGGATTCACAGGGAAGATGCTGGAGCTCATATATTCCCTGAGCCCTGGCTCACCTACCCAGCTCACTCCACTGTTCCTCTATGCTGACCTCAGGAATCCCAAGCAATGTGTACTGAACAAAACAAAAACGCCATGCTAGGAAGCAAATGTATCTCAATATAAGTTCATCTCTCTGTGTGTTTATCTCCCCTCCATATCTGTAACTCCAGTTAAGTGTTTGCTTCCACATGTGTCTACTGGCTACATCTATGTTTCTAACTCTAAACATGTTAGGATGGTTATGCTGCTGCTCGGCAGAACCAAGAAACTCACCGGCAGGGAATCAAGATGAGATGCAAAAAGAAAATACTCCCCCAGGTCAGGGTCAGATTCTATCATGCCTGGCCACCTGGGGAAGAGGGATGGGATGGGAGAGAAAGAGGTTATGATCAGAACACAACCTCACCATCATGCACACATGGAAAAGAGCAAGATGTTTTGTAGAAGATCCAAAAGCTATACTCCGTTAGCCACTACCAAGTGACTGGCTTGACTTCCACCAGCATCAAAGAAAGCTCAGTCATCCTAGCAAGCCTGTGGACAGAACCTCTAACCGTCACCAGAAAAGAGGCTAACCTACTCATCCTTCTCTTTACTTTGCATGTCTCTCGCATCTCAACATTTTTAAATGCCTTGAAGCAGGGCTTGGTGACATGTGCCTTACAATTCAGGCACTAGGGAAGTTTAGGCAGGATTTCAAGCTCAAGGCTAGCATTGTCTCAAAAACAAGAAATTGCTTTAGGTCCTCTTTTATTTTCCCCCACTCACTGCAGTATCATTGGACCCATTTTTCCAGAGATCCCACCTCCACCCTGAAACCTACAGTCTTCCAAAGGCTCCCAGCTCAGCCCTCTATCTTTTCCCTCACTGATGCTCTTTCTAATGAAGGTACCACATCTATGACAAATGATTGCCATATCCTTTCCTCTCCGCATGACTCTACCACTCCCAAGTTCAGGAAAGATATTCTCTGTTATGGTGCCCTACCAGGGGTAACCGTATTGCTTGGCCCAGATGATGGATCCTGGAACATAGGAGGCATAGGCCACATCGCTCTCACACCCTGTCCAGGTCTCCTCAGGAATATCACAGCGATTATAGTTCAGGTCTGCCAAAAGAGAAGGACTACAGAAACAGGAGGCTCAAAGGGTGAAACCAGGATGCAGACCACAGAGAGGGCAAAGGGAAGTGGTACAGGCTGCAGGTGGAAGAGACTAGAAACCCATAGAGGAAATGCAGCCACAGGCAAGAGGGTCCTGCTCCATCCCAGTGTGACTCTGCCCCTCTGTGGAGCAGTGTGGGGGTCGTTTCTCTAAGAGGCTTTCTCATCTGGAAAATAAGTGCGCTGGACAAGATGATCATAATCTGTCCCAAACCCCTTCAAATAGTCTAGAATGAATGCTAAGCTCACTGGGTCTTTCTCACTTGCTTTTCCCCACGTCATATATCTCTCTATATCCACAGTGCAACACCCATATTCCAGGAAGCACTGATACCATCAGGCAAGGTTGACACAGGTGGATTCACTTGGTGTACTCATAAAGGTTCCCAGGCCACCCATCCTTCCTCCCACAGAACAGGAAGATCCTCCCTTCCCAGTGCCCACAAGGACCCTCAATGCCAGCTCTATCTAAGTTGTACCTAACTGAAAGGAGACATGCTGAGAAAGAAACGGAGGAGTAATAAAAACTGGAGAAAACATTTCCATTCCTTTCTACCTGGGTTCTGATCACAAGACCAGTTATCTGGGAGAACTGAGGGATCAATGCCTCCACGAAGCTGCCTCCATTTCTCACACTTTGGAGAGGAACACTGGACCCAGATGAGACACTGGCCTGTGACAACGAGAAATGAAGATGAGACAAAAACACACTCGTCCTTCTTCAATCCAAGTAAATTCGATGTAACTTTCCCGGTGGCCCCTGAATCATATCGCAGACATACTAACTAGTCAAGTCTCTGAATTAAAATAGCCGAGTGAAAGCTCGGGGAAGACAAGTTGCTGAAGGTCAACCTAACTCAGTGACAGAGCTGACCTTAGAACTCAAGCCTTACACTGTCATCTTCTCTCTACCAGGCACAAATGATGCTTCCTGTAGTGACATCAAACAGAAAGGTTGCCTTAGACCAGCACGCACCGTTTTCCCAGGGTTTAGTTCCCAGCATCCACATGGGGCAGCTCACAAATGCCTTAACTTCCACTCCAGGGGATCTGAGGCCTCCTTCTGGCCTCCATAGGCATTTTGCTCATGTACACAAACCCCCCCTAGACACACACACACACACACACACACACACACACACACACACACACACACAATGTTAAAACTTAAAAAAAAACAAAAAACAAAAACCACTTTAATGGTTGCCTTAGTGCTGGAAGTGTAGCTCAGTGTTCTGTAGAATACTTTTTTTTAACTTTTGCAAAGCCAAAGGGTCCATCCTGTTATCACAAAGAAACAGAAAGCTTGGGGCTAGGAGGCTACTTTCCTTGGAAGCAGGAGAGCTGAGTCAGATCCTCACACTACCCATGTAAAAAACCCTGGGCATGGTGATGGGTGCTTGTAATCCTGGCACTGGGGAGACAGAGATAGGCACATTCCCTAGGGCTCACTGGCTAACTAGCCTAGCCTACTTGGTGAGTTCCAGGCCAGTGGGTCCGACTCTCTGACATCGCACTAATATACTAACCAGCACCTCTTCTGTGCACAGTATCTGTAATTGAAATTCTTACCCAAATCTCAACTGATTTATCCTTCTGTTATCAAATTACAAGCTTGTGGGGCTGAACAGCTGTCTCAATGATTAAGAGCAGAGCACATACTACCCTTTCAGAGGACCCCAGTTCAGTTCCCAGCCCACAGAGGGCATCTCACACCTGCCTGCAACTCCATCCCTAGGGAACTGTCTTAGTTAGGGTTACTATTGCTGTGTTGAAAGACCATGACCAAAGCAACATGGGGAGGAAAGGGCTTATCTGGCTTACGCTTCCACATCACAGTTTATCAACAAAGGAAAGTCATGAGAAGAACTCAAACAGGGCAGGAACCTGGAGGCAGGAGCTAATACAGAAGCCATGGAGGGGTGCTGCTTACTGGCTTGCTTCCCATGGCTTGCTTAGCCTGCTTTCTCAGAGAACCCAGGACCACCAGCTCAGGGGTGGCACCACCCACAATGAGCTGGGCCCTCCCTCATCAATCACTAATTAAGAAATGCCCTACAGGCTTGCCAATCTTATGGAGGCACTTTCTCAATTGAGTGTCCCTCCTCTCCAGTGACTCTAGCTTGTGTCAAATTGACATAAAACTAGCCAGCACAGGGATCCCACCTCCTCATCTGGCCTCAGAAAACACTGCACTCATGTGCACAAATCCACATTCAGATACACATAATTAAAAACAAAATAAATCCTTAAAAAATTACAAAGTTAGAGAGAGGAGGGACTGTATGAGCAAGAGATATTGAGACCACGATTGGAAAAAGCACAGGGACAAATAGCCAAACTAGTGGAAACGCATGAACTGTGAACCAATGGCTGAGGAGCCCCCATGGATCTGGAGCAGGCCCTCTGGATAAGTGAGACAGTTGATTAGCTTGAACTGTTTGGGAGGCCCCCAGGCAGTGGAGCCAGACCTGTCCTTGGTGCATGGGCTGGCTTTTTGGAGCCTGGGGCCTATGCTGGGACTCTTTGCTCAGCCTTGGTGTAGGGAGGAGGAGAATGGACCTGCCTCGGCTAAGTCTACCAGGCTGGGCTGACTCCCCAGGGGAGACCTTGCCTTGGAGGAGGTGGGAATGGGGGGTGGGTTGGAGGGGAGGGTTGGGGAGTGAGAGGAGGGAGGATGGAGGAATCCGTGGCTGATGTGTGAAATTAAGTTATTATAAAATAAAAATATTGGCCGGGCGTTGGTGGCGCACGCCTTTAATCCCAGCACTCGGGAGGCAGAGCCAGACGGATCTCTGTGAGTTGGAGGCCAGCCTGGGCTACCAAGTGAGTTCCAGGAAAGGCGCAAAGCTACACAGAGAAACCCTGTCTCGAAAAACAAAACAAAAAAAAAAAAATATTAAATAAAAAAAATGACAAACTTACATCCTTTAAGACCAATGTCCAGAGTTCCTCCTCCTCCACAAGACCCAGGTCTGGGTCCAACAGTACTCTCTTAACCACTTACTTTGTCCCCACACCAAGGCCATGGCTTCCTTTTATTCATCACCATTCAGACCTCCACTTATATCTGCTCAACTTTTCCACTTTGTTCTATGAAACTTCACAAGCTTGAGAAACAACTATTCACACATCCTCAAGCCTGTGTGTGTGTGTGTGTGTGTGTGTGTGTGTGTGTGTGTGTGTGTGTGTGTAGAGGTCAGAGGTTTATGATCAGCACCCTTCCCTATTGCACTCCATCTTATGATTTTTTTGGGTATGTGATTTGGGGGTTATGTGTGTATGTGTGTGCATGTATGTACACACATGCACATGGGCTTTTAAAGAATTATTTGTTTGGGCTGGAGAGATGGCTCAGAGGTTAAGAGCACTGGCTGCTCTTCCAAAAGTCCTAAGTTCAATTCCCAGCAACCACATGGCAGCTCACAACCATCTGTAATGAGATCTGGCACCCTCTTCTGGCATGCAGGCAGAACATTGCATACATAATAAATCTTTTTTAAAAAAGAATTGTTTATTTATTGTTTTGTGCTTGTTTGTTTGGTTTTTTGTGTTGGGTTTTTTTTGTTTTTTTGTTTTTTTTGTTTTTTTTTTTTTTTTTGAGGCAAGGTTTCACTGTCCTCAAACTCAGAGTTCTGTCTGCCTCTGCCTCTGCCTCCCAAGTGCTCAGATTAAAAGCATGTGCCACCATGCCTGGTAAGAGTTTGTTTTTATTTTTAGTTATGTGTATGTAGGAGTGTGTGAGTGGAGTGCAGTGCTCATGGAGAAAGTCATAGACATTGGATCCTCGGGAGATGGAGTTAATGTCAGTTGTGAGTCACCTGACCTGGGTGCTGTGAATTGGACTCAGGTCCTCTACAAAAGCCACTGAGACATGTCTCTAGCCCCCTTCATTTTACGTTTTAAGGCAGGATCTCTCTGAACCTGGGGCTCCCTGATTCTTCCTGCCCCTGCTCCCTGTGCACTGGGCCTAGAGGCACACATCACTGCACCTAGCTCGTTCATGTGGGTTTTAACAACAGACTCAGGTCCTCACTCTTGCTCATCAAGCACTTTACTGACCAAGCCATCTCCATCACCCCATCTTCATTTTGAGACCTGGATGCTAATGACACTGTCCCCACCCAACTGCCACCTCAGATCTCTAAGTGGAGTCTGTTCCTTCTCACAGTCCCCACATCTCTCGAGGCAGAAAGTAGGGCAAACTTCTTTATTCCCACTAAGCCTCCCCCTCCTGCAGAAACCCTTTCTCTGAGGTGCCCTCCATTAGGCACTACCTTGCCCTATTGTCTCGAAAAGATGGTGGCATCCTACTCAGTCTTTACCTCTCCACTTCAAGCCTTCAGTTCAGATGACAACCACATCACAGGAATACCTCAGGAGCACCCCATCTTCATTTCTTGGCCCTTTTCCATACACCTCCTCAGTAACCTACTCCCACTCCTGCATGACCCAGTCATGTCAGAAAGCACACACACCCTCCGAGTCACATGTCCAAACATCCTCCGACAGCGTGCCCTGTCCTCCCCACCTCACCTGCTCAGAGTCCTGCAACTCTCACTTTAGCTCGGCCTGCAGCCCTCCAGGCTATCCCATCCTGAGATATGAGGACCTGAGTTTGATCTCCAGCATCCATGTGAAATCTAGGCACAGCAGTGCACACCTTTGATCCCAGTGCTAGGAAGATAAAAGCAGGATCCCTGGAGTTCATTGGCCAGCCAGCCTAGCTGAATCAGTGACGTCCAGGTTCAGTGAGAGACCTCATCTCAGAATAGAAGACAGAGTGTAACTGAGGAAGACACCTAAGGTTGATCTCTAGTGCACACACACATACACATACACACACACCAAACCATATACACATATGCACATGCACTTACATATGTACAAACAAAAAAAAGATTTAATATCATCAAACAATGTTTTGCCTGTAAGTTTGCTGTGTTAAATTTTTACCCACTGTCAAATTTTACTTAAAACGTCTTCAAACGCAGGGATATACCTCACCCATGTCTAATCTCATCCCACTGGAATCATCGCTCAGACTTACACTTCGGTCCTTTCAAAACATCATTATACTATGTATGGATCATTTCTTAAGTACTCCATCTAAAAATAAAATACTGAGGTCTGGAGAAATGGCTCAGTGGTTACCGGCACTTGTTTTTCCAGAGGGTCTGGGTTCAAATCCCAGCACCCACATGGTGGCTCACAATCAGTAACTACAGTTCAAGAGGAGTTGACCTCTTTTGGTCTCTGCAGGCACCAAGCATGCACACAGTGCACAGACATACATGCAAGCAAAAAATCCACACACATAAAATAAAATTTAAAACAAGATAAAAAAAAATACTAATTGGGAATGTGTTAGTTAGAAGTGACAGCTGCTGGGGTGAAGCTCAAGCAGTCCAATGTTTGCCTAGCATACATGAAGCCCTGGGTCCCATTACTAGCACCTCACTAACTTGGTGCAGTAAGCTCAGGGCTGTCATCCCAGAATTTAGGAGGCAGGGGGATCGGGAGTCCAAGGCCAGCTTGGGCTACAAGAGATCCTGTCTCTTAAAAGGAAACAAAGCAAAAACTAAGCAAGCAAACAAAAACAATTACCAATACAATTGCCCCTAATAGTTTGGTATTTGTGGAGGTGACCCAGCAAGACTAGGAAAGAGAGCC